GGTATACATTTGTTTCATAACAGGGGTGTGTACATAGTATTAGGATGACTGCAGATCTCTCAGCTGAAACCTTTCAGGCAAGAAGAGGATGGTCATCGACTTTTAATCTCCTAAAACAAAATAACTTTCAACCTAGGCTTCTGTAGCCAGCTAAACTGAGTTTCATCTATGATGGAGAAGAATAGCTTTCTTACTGAATAACTTGCAAAAGGAAATCACGGTATACAGTTGCCGATGGTATGTGACTTGAGATTAAATGAAATAAACTATGTTTATTCTACAGAACAAAAAAGATCTACTGGATTTCTGTGGTGCTAGTCTTTAACCAGAGGTAATTTTTATTAGCTTCCATTAATCTCTCCCACCATCAATGAGGCCTTCTCAGAGGCAACAGTGAAAGTGTTGAATTCCAACTGTGGGTGGTCTCATTCTAGAAAAGGGAAATCATCATTTACGGAAAAGGGAAGAAGGAAAGAGCAATGTGTTTTCTTATACAACATAAGCTGGAACTGGGCAGGTCTACTTACACACAGATCTTCTTCCCCTTCTGCCACCCATGACACAGCAAAACCAAACTCCTGCCTCTTCCTCTATCTCCTCAGCCCACTCCATGTGAACACAGCACAGATGAAGACCTTTATGATGGCCCACTTCAACTTCATGAATACTAAATATATTGAGAGGATCTCTTGAGCTTAGGAGTTCAAGATCAGCCTGAGCAAGAGTGAGACTCCATCTCTACTAAAAATATAAAAATTAGCCAGGTGTTGTGGCAGGATCCTATAGTACCAGCTACTTGGGAGGCTGAGGCAGGAGGATGGCTTGAACTCGGGAGTTTGAGGTTGTTGTGGGCTACTCTGACACCATGGCACTTTAGCATGGGCAATGGAACAAGACTCTCTCTCTCTCTCTCAAAAAAAAAAAATATATATATATATATTTTCTTCCTTATGATTTTCTTAATGACATTTTATTTTTCTACCCCACTCTGTTATAATATTGTATGCATTATATATCACATACAAAATGTAAGTTAACCAACAGTTCATATTATCAGTAAGGCTTCTGTTCAACAGTAAGCTATTAGTCGTTAAGTTTTTGGAGAGCCAAAAGTTATGTGTAAATTGCTGACTGTGCCAGGGACTGGCCCTCCCAACACCCGCGTGTTTAAAACTCAATTGTGGCGCGGCGCCTGTAGTCCCAGCTACTTGGGAGGCAGAGGCAGGAGACTCACTTGAGCCCAGGAGTTGGAGGTTGCTGTGAGCTGTGATGCAACAGCACTCTACCCAGGGGGACAGCTTGAGGCTCTGTCTCAAAAAAAAAAAAAAAAAAACAACAACTCAACTGTATGGAGAAACCAGTTGGAAGTCCAGTCTTGCCCAACTACACAATTCAAAGTTAAACGCCCCGTAAGATTTTTCAGGACCTTGGAAATCAGTGTCTAGGGCACCACATCTGCTTTGAATGTATGTAGCAGTCCCCAAATCACAATAGTGAAGGTTTCTCTTGCTTTATTTTTCCCAGAGAGCTGTGATTTGTGTTACTGTGAGAGAAGCATGCCTCCTGATTGACTTTGGTTTCTGGGGGCAACAGAAAAGCAGGTGGGAGCAATGCTGAGGTTCTGCAAGCTTTTAGAATATTGCAGCTTCTCCCTTTATCTCTGTGTAAGAAAATGCTTTCTGAAGTGAGCTGAACATTCACCAGACCTCTGTGTGCCTTTGAAGTGCTTGACTTTCCCAGCAGCTCTGACTGGCCTTTGGGGGAAGTGGAATTTCTTAAGCCGGGTGCCTCCTGGGGCTGGAGAGTGGCTGGTGTACAGCTGGTTCTAAGAGGGCAGAAGCTCTCTCCTCTGAAAATGTAAATTTTCTACAGGCTTATAATGAAAGCAACACAGGCAGTTGGCTGATTGCCTGACTTCTCTGCTTCCCTGACAACCTAGTTCATCTGAAAGACAGGAGGGACACTATCTCACTGTGGTGTGGATTTCCATCGGGAAACCCACACTGGCTGCGCCCCCGTCCTTCCCTTGAATACTGACTGCGCATTGACTGGAGAAACAGGGACTCAAGGTATCACTTAGCTGTGGATGTTACCAATAACACAAGCCACAAATCTGCCTGAGTATTCTACGTACAGCTAAGGGAATATTTTCTCTAAATCCTTTCACATTTGGGATTTGAATAAAGCAAAATCTGTATATATTTCATAATCCAACACTTTGTAAATTGTATTTCAAAGTGGTTATAGATAAATCAAAAATAGAAATGTGAGGTCTCAAGTTCTAGCTATGTGTGAATGGGGGGGGGGATTCGCTTGTAATATATGGATGGTCACAGCATTGTAGAGCTCTTTATAATTAGCCCTTAATGTCTTAGAAGTAACATTTCTGTAACTGGAGTGGACAGCTTAGTTGGTTGTGGAGGCAGGAGGACACTTTTGTCTAGTGTTAGCTGCAAGACTGTGGGAAACTGCTAGTCAGCTCACACCACTGTGTCCAATCCCCTCCAGCGGCTTCTCACGCAGCATATAACTCGCTGAATTACCCTTAGCCACAGCGCCTTACTTACTTCAGCAGTCCTCAACCTGTTCGGCCCCAGGCACAGGTTTCATGAAAGACAATTCTTAGACAGATAGGGGAAGGGTAGTTTGGGGATGAGTCAAGCACATTCCATCTCCACTTCAGATCACTAAGCTTTAGGTCAGATCCTCATCAAGGGCACATGCCCTGATGCCCCGGATGCGCAGTTCACAGCCTGGTTTGGGCTCCTGTGAGGACAGTGCGGGGAGGATGGGCAGTGGCTGTAACACACGTGAAGCGTCACTTGCTGGCCTATTGCTCACCTCCCGCTGTTCGGCCCTGTCCCTAACAGGCCGTAACCTGACACTGGTCCACAGCCTGGGCACTGGGAGCCCTGCATGGTCCAGGCTCTGGGTCCCGCGCTGTTCTGCAACCCACCTTACACTCCACTCCAGTCACACAAGATCGCTGTGGTTCCCGTAACAGATCAAACTCGTTTCTATGACAGGACCTCGGAACTTCCAGTTTCCTCAACCTGGAAACCGTTCCTCTTCCTGAAACCTTTCTGGTCTGCTCGCTCATTCCTTCAGGTCTTTCTCACCTGCGCCACTTTGTCAGGGCGAGTCTTTTGTCGTTCTGTACAGCATTGCACCCTCCACCGTGTGGCTTCTTATCCCTCCGCTGTGCAGCGTTGCTTCTAAGCAGAATATGTATTTTATACATTGTTCACTATCCATCTTCACATCTGAAGGTATCTTCATGAAGGAAGCTCGTTAATCTCTTTTGTTTACTACTGACACTCAGGCAACTAGAACCATGCGTGGGTGTGTAGTAATCACCCCATAACTGTTTCTTCAAAAGTAAACGTCGATGACGTTTATTGCATGCTTCGTCTATGCTATGTATTCTTTAAACTACTTTATACACGTGTAATTTGCTGCTTACAGTGGTTCTGCTTCTCTTCATTTCACTAAAAGGAAAACTGATGATGACTTCGAACAATTTCAAGATTATATTACTTGGAAGCAGTAGAGTAGAATTTTAACTCTGCTAGCCCCAATCTCTTAAATCAAGCTGAGCGATTTTATTCTATTAGCTAAAACAGTCATTTACCTACCTGAAAACTTTATTTTATAATCTGGAGAGGGGGGATTTAAATTTTTTTCTCCCGAAGGTTGGTTTTTAAGAGTCTCATAATCGTATCTCACACAAAATCTGTTTTGGGGTGTGAATAATTGTAAATGTCATTTAGTATTTGCTTCAACAGCAGAATATATCAACATTGTGAAGCTCTCAGTAACACTGCGGATATCACAAAAGCAGCGAAATTAATG